ACTTTCATACTCGTACCCATACCTACTGATTAACAGCTAGACCCAACTATTATATCGGCCGACATGAAGTCTGTAGTCTGCGACTAGGCTTACCCAGCGACTTTTGACAACTTGTGAATTCTGTCAAAATTGACAAAATGTCCCTTTTGACATGTCAAAAAATCTCTTTTGACATGTCAAAAGTCGACGGGTCGACGGGACCTGCCCCCCTAGACAAAACGCACTTTTTGATCGAATCGAAAATCGACTCCGTCAAAACTCCATACAAAAAAGGGGCTTTTCGACCACTTTTCGACTGGTTTGCGATTATAATGTGCACTTTGTCTAGACCCACTGTAGACTAATACCTACTCTATCCTTTAGCACTTGTGGGTACACTCTTTAATGGCCCAGTGATTTTTCCCAGTCATATGCTAATGTCAGATTAGCATACATTTCGCTCGTACGTAGTGGCAAAAACGTTGATGGTATTAACAATGCGGTAGACGTAATTCTTTAAAGATTCGCTGAACCGAGGTTTCTATGTGGTAATGAAGAAATAAGTACATAATTAGAGGTACAGATGGTAAACGCTTTTAGACTTTATTTTCTAGCTTAAAGAGCTACATAATGCTGCAGCTCATGTGAAGTTCTCATAAAATAATGAAGGATTAACTAATAGAAAATATAAAACAATAAATGTTTTTTTTATATTCACCTTTTAAGGCTGAGGGCTCTAAATTGCAGAGCTTTATTTCTCAAAGTACGCATATGTAATTTATAAACAAACGCTTTCAATTTTCCCAACCCTCCCTTTCTAACACTTAAACAAACGCCAAGACTGAAATATTTAAAAGTCTAACGGTCGCTGGCACATCTCTAACCGTGTGACGTTTCCAAATTAGGACATCACGGTAACTCCCCCGAAATATAAATGGAATTGTCGTGTAGCTCGCCGCGTTGAGATGCGAGATAATCTGAGTAGTTACACCCTGTCTACTAACTCAAGTTTTGTCGCCACCGGAGGCGGGAAGCGAGTTTCAATGACGGCTTCAAGTAGTTTATAAATATTTAATGCAATTTATGCGCTTTGAGGGAAGTTTGCGAAGCTGTTTTGATAGTAAAAGTGATGTTGGCAAACTGTGACTGAGATATTTCGTTTNGTTAGTTCTTTTTGGAACAGTTTCATTTTTGAAAAATAAGAACCTGGGATTTATCAAACAGTCCTTGAACAAAAGTCCTCTCAGAATGAAAACTTAAGCATGGAATAATATTAATTTATTTCTTAGCATTAGTTTCCAGACACTTGTACCTAGACATGTTATTTTAGCACCTCTTATTCATAGTTTTACCACAAGTTTTCTCATTGAAACTTTGCCCGCAATGTGACTATGGTGATAAAATCATCGATGTTATAATATTCGAACTGTTCGAAGAGACGTGTCATCAGTCAAGATGTAACCTAAGTATACCTACAGATTACATTTTTCTCAGGAGATAAAAAACGAACTAAAATTAAAATTAATATCTTCAAACAGCCAAAAATGACTTGTACCTACATTATAAGAACTTCACTGAATACAATGTTCTTTGAATGTATTATCTGCTAGTCCTTAATATTACCTACTCGTAACATTTACTTCATAGACTTTACTTAACAATTAATTGACTTTACTCAACATAAATAAACGGTAAGTACTCAAGATTGAGCAAACGGCTTCCGAATAATAAAGTAATTTCGCATATGAGCTACTAAAAGTTATTTGGAAAGATAAATGACCTCTCTGCTGAGATCAATAAATCTTCATTAATTATCTTATTCAGCTTTCGTAATTAATTCATTAACAAGTTCAACTCACAAAAGTACAATAGCTCCTTAAAGGCCGTTCTTGGGACTGCTTTTCTAATTTAGAAGTTGGACTGCGAAACAAAATGACTGTTTTAAAAATAATAATTAAATTTAATTGCTTTTACATTAATTCTTAGAACCTTTAGGTATTAGTAGCTTTGCAAAGGGATAGACATGAAAAACTGAATTTTACCTTTTTTATATTACAGGGGGCAAACGAGCAGACGGATCACCTAATGGTAAGTTTTTACCTGGAATATAAAAGTCTATTCTCTGGAATAACAGAATCAAGTTTATAAAAATCAAAACATACCAATACCTTAAAAAGTCCAAACCCCCAATAGGTAATTGAAGCATTTTCTTTTTCATATAAAATACAGTCAGAGTCAAATAATTCGTGAAACCCAAAGTAGCCAAAAAGTTCGCGTCACGCTTCTTTGTTACAATCACAATAAGGTTGTGTGTAACTTTTTGGCCTCTTTGGCTAGCACGAACTATTTGACGATGATACCCAGGTAATTAAGTTACTAATAGAGCAACCAGGGCATTAACCTACACTACAGATACAGTGCAGTGGTACTATACTTACTTGTTTTTAACTACCACGTACAGGCAGATAACAAATGGGCACAATGCAAACTGCAAGCTTCCTCGGTTACTGTAACTCATACAATGCATTATGTGTTATGTGCGTGCACATTATCATTTGTTTTGCATTATGCTAGTTACTGAATAGAAAAAATGGTTATGATAATTTTAAACAAGTTTACTCCAGTCCGACTAATTTACCTTATGGTAATTTAATTTATCGTGTATTTCATTTCATTGCAGAAAAAATCAACGCCAATAGCCGAAGGAAGAGAAAAATAGAAAAAAAGAAAACATGGACACACAAATTACAATTTGAAATGTAAGCAATAAAATATAACATCAGACACCAGACCACGATTAACCATTATTTCCCAATGAGCACTAGCTTTCGCTTTTTTTTATCCAGCAATTTCCATAAATTGTAACAGATTAAAAATGGTGTAGGCCGGCTATCTTCGTCAGCATCTCTCAATGGAAAGTGATGATCAGGCCGAATCGACAACTTCTGAAATTGAAATAATGAAGCTTAATTTGTAACCTATAAATGCAGTCAAAAATATCCCGAGTATCATGTTCCTAAAACGATTCGACTTATTTAAATCACAAACACATACCGGCGTTATAACCAAATACGACACTACACTGCAAACACGGTTTTATTCAAAGCTTCATAAATTCAAAATTGTTTAGTCACCAGGTACACAGAATGGCTTTTGAAAAACATTTTCCATTGAATCCTCGATGCCGTTATGACGTGCCGCTGCGAACTTTTTGCGATGAAAAAGGCTGACCGTAGAGGGACGACTGTTGCGTTACACACAACGTCTGGGCATGCAACGTCGCATTGTTTGGAATTAATGAGTTTCAGGTTTATACTAACATAGTGAAACGTTGGCGGAACGGTTGGATTTGAAGGTACGCTCTTCGTTATTTAGATACAATTTAGACATGAAATAACTGTGACCGCTGAAAACGTGACACTCTTTTGAGATAGATATGACTTGGAGGATTTTATGGGAGAAAAATGAATAATTCTGTTGATATTCAAGCTGTGCATTATTATATTCAGATACTCTTCGGTAAGCCATAAACTTGACTGAAATATCTCAAAAGTATTAAAATTACAACACCAAAAGAATTAGCCTTTTGTCAATCTATGGCTAACGATTTGCTTGTCTTTCTTCGTTATCTAATTAATAGGATTCCATGACGTAGTGTAACATAGGAGAAGACCACACATCGCCTCACTTCATTACCTCGCTCGGATCAAGCCCTTGTTTAGCGCCCGCCGAAATTGTTTCCAAATTAATATGCCGGCTTAAAACATCAGCATTTTCCCCGAAAACAAATGAACTTACACAAGTATAATTGAAGTATCTTACGCAACACCAACTGTTATTATTAATCGCGGATCCGCGTCTCGGAATAATGTTTATTCAAGCAAACACGATACGCCTTATGAAAACGGGGGAGAATTACTGTGACGACGTTTTCGTACTGATTTTCATTTCCCGCTGCGCTTTGGCGTTAATACCGAACGATCCAGAAGTTTTAATTGCAAACTCTTAATGAGGTAGGTGACAGGCTTAAAATAGGCCACTGCCTACTGGCACATAAACAAAATGAACGCAACGGTTTATTAAATCTGAAGAATTTAAGTAGGCACGAGTAGGTAAGAATTTTCATTTCGTAAATATTGGTTCCCATTTTAATATGAAATGAGTTTGCCTGGTGAACAAACAGGGCGAATTTAAAGGAGGCTCTTTTTTAAAAAGCTTAACATATCTTTTGATTATTTTTGTGAGAGATATTTTTTTATGTAAAGTCAACAGAGAATAAAAGTTTTCGTTAAAAATCGCAGTTATTACAACTAAATCGGATTTACAGTGCTTATTTAGATGTGCTGTAGGTACATAAATCGATTGATTCAAAATTGAGTTCTCGCACACTGTGAAAGGTTCATCATTCATCAGAGCAATTCTACGAAGAATTCTCGTGTCAATTTTGCATATCGACTGGTGAGATTCCGTGTAAACCCGAATTTTTGGGTCTAAAACAAAAAGTTTGCTCCGAAAGGCCCGCATTGTCCCGTCGTGCCCGAACCCGTTCCACTGCAGGCTTGTCTCATAAATAAAGCAGGGCTAAAACGTCGCCTGGTGAAACGGTCTATGCGTCCACCGCGAATAATTAGACAAATATTTGAACGAAACAGTGCTGTTTGGACAGCGAGTATGGGCGGGCGCACCGCTTTTGTCCGCCGTGCTTGCGCGGTGACGACACGGCAAGACTTATGAATTCCAAATGCAGCCCTTGAATCCGTCCGTTCGTTTTGTNAGATGCGCCAGTGAGTACTAATCTGCGCGACTTGTGTCACCCCCTGATGCTTGGCACCCGGGGCGGACCGCCCCCACCGCCCCCCCCTTACGCCGCTACTGTCTGTGATACTAATCTTCAATAGCAAATGGGAAACAAGTGGAAAATAGCGTGAAAACTTTTATTTTCAAATACCAGCTTTTACAAGTTAAATTATACTTTATATGGCATATTCCTGCTGAGTAGGAGTAGGTAGCTTTTGCCAACTTTTTACTCGTATAACAAAAACATGAAATTATGAAATGCAGGTGATAAATCATTGTTCCATTGTTGTTCCAAATATCGATTTTTTTCATTGATACTGAAATTCCTATGATATAAATTAGTGGAAATCAATGGATTGGATAAATAGAAGTCTCTACTTATGTAGAGCGTTGTTACTCATACAGAGCATCGATTATACCGTATTCGTTTAGGTACATAATAAATCAGCAGCTGGTCTAGTTAGTTAGATAATTAGATATTTAATCATGACTAGACCATTTTAATAAATTACAGATGAATAGGCCATTTTTCGTGATAATGGGATTAGTAACTTATTGTTTAACAAATTAACGATAGTTGTTTTCACGTTTCATGACGCAGAAGCAAATTATTTCAGAAGTCAAATTTGTCTCTTAAACTAATTTTAATTTTCCAAGAGTTATTGAATTCGTACCAAACCCTTTGATTGTTATCAAACAAATGAGTGAAAAGTCGTTTAATATCTAAATCAAATTGACCTTTATCCTTCGGGTGTGAAGTCAAACAAAAGGCCTGGGTTTCGGGCCCGGAAGGCCACTAAGGCTGAGTTGCACCACCTAACTTTGACCGTAACTTTAACAATAACCGGTGTTTTTTGTATGGAGTTTGACAGATTTTTGACGTTTGTCCAAGTTAAAGTAAGATGGTGCAACCCAGCCTAAGAGTTATAACGAGCCCTCTCATAACTACAATTGTCGTTACGAGGGCAAAGGTTCCCGATTTGAATATTCTAAAGACCTACAATTGCCTTTGTAGAGCCTCTTATTAGTTATACGACGGCCATTAATTATCCAGCCGTAATACCGATTTATTCATACGCAACTAAAATAGTATACATGGAGGCAATTTTCATTTTAAACCCTGCTCGAATGAGTTATGGTTTCACCTGCAAAGGTTTTTAAATGTTAAAATAATTTTCTAATGAGAGAAAAATAATTATCTCCCTTTAACAGTTTAACGGACAGTAAGGTAAGTAAATTAAATTAACACACAGCTGATTTCTATTTATATGCATTAGAATTTATAATAAATGTAATTATAACGTAACGTTGTAGTTATAATTAAATATTCTTTCACAGGAAAAAATATTATGTAGGTATTTAAAAGTTCATTTTATATTCGAATTTAAAAAAACGCCATCTATGAAACTGAAAAAGAACTTTTCTGGCGCTGAAACGCTTTCACATTGTTTTACACTAAGGTTGTTGTTGTTTGCAAGTTAGTTCAGTGCCTTTATGTAAGATGGCTCTTGTGTAGACTGGTACTAATAAAATAAGTAAGTTTGTGATTTTTTTTATTTCGTCTTAATTTTTTTGCTTTTATTAGTACTAGAAGATTGTGCAATTATAATAAGTGCCCGTACAACAATAAAAACAACATACGCACTAACAATAAAGCTCAACAAAAGAAAAGCAAAAACATCAAGCATGTTGTTTGCGAACCAACTCAATTCATGAGCTGGATTTTTTATGAAATCGGCTCCTTTATTTCTTATAACATATTCTATCCAATACATCGCTGTATCTAGAGCTGGCATCGGTCTATCTTTGAACCGTTTAGACATTTCTTGTGCCTTGTTCTTATAAGTATCATCTTTTAGTACTTCATGGAGATTTTTCCTTAGCGTATCCTCATTGATGTCGCGGTACTGTAAGATTTTTCCGAAGCCTAACTTCTGGGCTTGGAGGAGATTGTTGTATTGATCGGCGTAGATAGGCACCCCTATGATAGGAACTCCGTGGAAGATGGCCTCTTGGGTCCCGATGAGACCCCCGTGTGATATAAACACTTTGACGTTTGGATGCGCTGTAACAGAAAAATAAAAAAGTTTTATTTAAAAATGCATTTACCTACCACACTCGATATTTTAAATGGAATTCTGTCGCTTTAATATGTTTAGTTATTTGTCACTGAAAAAAACAGGCAAATTGGAGGCTCTTTTGTAGTGGTACACCCCCGTACAATGTCCTGAAACATTGTAATTATACAAAGCTGACTGACACTTAAAATCACATGATTAGAAGAGCCATTGTTCTTGTTGGTTTTGTAATAAACTAGTTTACATAAAGTACTCACTGACAAATACATTCTAAATTTATGTTCACACATTTAATTACATTCATACTCACATAATACATCCTTTTGTGGGAACCATTTCCGTATCACTACATTATTGGTTTTGATATCAAAATTATCATCTTCCCATTTCCAAAAAACTGTTTGCTTCAGCTCTGAGAATATTTTCACAAACGCAAGTTTCTTTTCAGGGGGCATTTCAGAGCTGCGGACATTTGAACCGAAATTCACGTATACAACCCCATGCTTTGATTCGTCCAGGAGTTTTTGTAGATCCTGAAAAAAAATTGTTTTAGCATTAAAATATCGGAGCTTATTGTACCTCTAGAACGAACCCATTTTGTTGCTGTAATGAATTGATAGCACTTTATACAGGGTGTTTCTTGTAAGGTGTCAAGCCGAAGGCAAGTGATAGGTGAGGACTAGACCTATCGATTTCACCCCCATGNTAAACAATAATATTGTAAAGTTTCATCAAACTCCGTTCAGTGGTTTTTGCGTGAAAGAGTAACAAACATGTTAACATCCAGACATCCATACAAAGTTTCGCATATTAGTAGGATAGGATTACTGTCATATTACAGTCAAAAGGGCGCGTAATCCCCATCGTGCGTTGGTAGCTACTCGCTAATAACCAGCTTCGTGACTTGACGACTTGTGTCATGCCACAAAAGCGGGCGCCTTTTCAACATGCCTCAATTAAACTAAATATGTATGCACCTAAATGTTACATGCAGAATAAAGTAATTCTATTCTATTCTATACTATACTAGCTTTCCGCCCGCGACTTCGCCCGCGTGGAATTTTGTCTGTCACAGAACCACATCATCGCGCGCGTCCCTGTTTCAAAAACCGGGATAAAAACTATCCTATGTCCTTTCCCGGGACTCAAACTATCTCTTCTTTATTTTATCAAATTCAGTTATTTAGGCGTGAAAGCAAGACAGACAGAGTTACTTACGCATTTATAATATTAGTATAGATAGTATAGATTACTGGTCTTATTTATTACACTCTTTTGTAGTTTTTATGTCGTCGTTTATAAGATGCGTAATATTATGTCAGCGTTACGATATGACATTAATTAATTCTAAAGACGTATTGGAAACATGCAAAATCACGATGACAATCGATTATAAAACATTATCAAATAATTATCGCAGAACAGTAGTAATGTTCTAAATAAAGATCCATGAACAAAGCAGTCACATAATACACAACTCATTGGAGTTGATTGATAAATAGCTGTCTATTATACTAAACGCACAGGCAATTTAAACGATAACTCGCAATTTAAGATGTTGCCGAGTCTTTAAAAATGATAAGTTGCTTCAAAATGCCGTAAAAAAATTGTTTATAACATAAGATTATCATGATGATGCAAAAACACGTGCGTAATGCCCTTCAAGATACAAAATTAAATAAATAAATTTTTACGCGGTGTTATGCACATCTTGGGGTTTGATGGGCTAAAAAGGGTGCAAGGAAATAAAAATATAGTTTATATTATTTACCTGAGGTAACTTGCTTGTACTGCGTGTCAGATGTAAACCACCAACCTCCACAATATTCGGAAGGTAAGCAACCGGGCCGTCAAAACTGAAGTGACTGTTAATCAAGATCAACGCAGCATTTCTCTGCAGCTCATACAAACTTGGCACTGGTTGGGGTAAGTTAGGCAAGTACTTCCTCACAAATTCCTCCTGCTTCTCCAAATACCAGTACTTCCACCACACATACTCATAAACTGTGAAGTATAAGTTCCTGAGTCTCCCCCAGAAGCTGGTCGGGTCTTTAACATCCAAGAATTCTGATACGACAGTCGCCAGCTGCAAGGGATTTCGTGATACAATATTGTGCCTCATGCAGTTTCCATATGTTGTGATGAGCACTAGAGGAGCGTTGTACTTATGAGCTAACGTGAACATAGCTTCCTGGAAGAACTGCTCGCTTATCACCAGGTCGAATTTGTTGTCATTTGCCAAGAAATGCTTCACTTGAGGCGACTGTAAAGTCACTTCTGTGTGACCCAACCCTCCACGCCATAAGATGATATCGTGGAATTCTTCTGCCGAGATATCCACCATGGTAAATACGTTTGGACGTTTCATCCCTGTAAAGGTGATATGAAAATATTTAGCTGTATATTTTAAAATTAATTATAAATTATTTAATGTAATAATTTGACAAATATTTATTCATGTGAATAAATTTAATTTAATTAGTGCAGTCAAATAATTTTAATTATGTTAACATTCTATCTTTGCAGTTGAAATAAGTCTTCTGGGTCACAAAAAATATGTTATAACTGAAAATTATAATCTGGAAATAAGCCATTGTCTTTTCTATAAGTAAAATTTATTAATTCTACAGCCACTTCTAAATTAAAGACTGACAATTTTATATTTTGTTGTTCGTTAGAATTTCGTGCAGTACAAAATATATGTATAGTTTCCGTGGTTTAATAATATTAATCCATTTCTAACTTACCTGTTAATTCCCAGATTTCCTTGTCATCCACCATTACCTGATGGTAATTAGTGAGGTTTACGTCTGTTTTATGTCCAGTGATCACGGTTACATTGTGGCCTCTTTTAGCGAGTTCCAAACCAATTGGCTTCAACATAATATAATGAGATCTCGATGTAAACGGCACAACGTACAAGATATTTGCACACTCGGAACATATTGATAGAATAACCACTCCTATGCAATACCACAACATGTTTTATTAATTAAAAAATCCTTTACAACCACTTCCCGGCGACTAACACAGTACCATTCATCCGCGCGAATCAAACCGACTGGCCGCAGTTCAAACAATCATCTATTATAAGAAGCTACGTAAATATGTACTTAGACAGGGATTTTTTATTGCTTATGTAACTTATGTTACATAATTAAAGTACAGTTACAGAAAACATAATAGTATCCACGTTATATCCCTAGAGATCTAGCTATGAAATGGGCTAAAAAGTCACGATAAGCACTTTTAATCTACGAGTAGGTATAAAATTTAACTCACGATACGATCTACAAGTACCTACCTATCTATGATAGTTATTTCCATGATTTAGTAATACATATTAATTATTAGGTACAGATTTTTCCTTATTTTTTCTTTGAAAGGTAGGTATATTATGTTAATAAACGTAAGATGTAAAAGCTAATTAAGTATATATTATATTTACATGCTACGAAGATTACTTCGTAGACGTAGTTTACTAAATACCTCAGTCAAAACTAGTTTTAACTAGGGGAAACACGTTTTACCTAAAAACAGGTTTTAACTGTAACATAAACATCACGTTTTGAATTCACTTGGCAAGGACAAAGCCATGGTATTTCATGTTACTTATTATGGCAAATTGATAGTGTCTAACTTTTTATTTGAGTACAAGACAATTGATATTTACGAGAAACTTTTAAAATTGATGAAAAAGCTCGTACCTATGATAATTTAGCATAATGATGAAAGGTGAGAAATAAAATTGTGTGTGTAATTTAATAATAAACCTAATATTTTAATATTTAAATAATTTAATAAGTTTATTTATTTATTTATTTATTTATTTATTTTATAGAAACCAACAGCGATACATTGAAAATATTAGTTATAAGATTTAGACTGATAGTATAGTTACCCTTTGAAAATCAGGTATATACTTCTTTCTCGAAAACTACGGGACGGATAGATACAATTAATGTTATAGCATAATTATTTTAATGAAATATTATATGAAATATGTTAATCGAAACAGAATAGTGATGGCACGACAGAATCGATTATTATCGCGATTCAGAAATCGATAAATATTATATTTTAAATAATTTATTAAAATCAAAGCCACAAACAAGCAGATTACCAAGTATGTTTTATTGTACATACAATTTTAGACAACTTGGTTTGTAGGATGTTTTTGTAGCATAACAAAACAAGCACCGTTTTTACACACTCATAATAGCACAGCAACACAATATGAGTGGAGCTTTTTATATCGTCTAAAATACAGATTGTATTATATACCTACATTTTGTTGATATTAGTATTTTAGTTTATTATTATAGTTTTGTATATCTTTCCTAGACTAGATTATTATGTCAATATTAGATATTACTATATTTTGCTTCTCATTCAAGCTATGATTGTTTACATAGTATATTGACTGCCTACATTGTTTTCAAAGTAAACTATATCTGTCTGATATAAGATGGTATTTGTGTTCCAGTAATAATATAAAGATTATTAGATACCTAACTAGCTTTTGCCCACGGCTTCTGTGGCGACTGAATTTTGCGTGTGTTTCTAGATATACTTTCATGTCCTATTCCAGATACTAGGTATTAGGATACATAAGTAAGTAAGCACCTTCTTGTAGAAGAGCTCGTAGATTTTATGGGCGCTCATAGTGTGAGTCTTTGCTTTAAGTAAATTACCTACTTATCATCATCATCATTTCAGCCACAGGACGTCCTCATCATAGGCATCCCCCAATGATTTCCAGCCCGGTTGGTCGCGACCTGCATCCAGCACCTTCCTACTCCATGAGGTCGTCGATCCACATTGTGGGTGGACGCCGGTCTACGCTGCGTTTTCCGGTACTTCAATACAAAACCTTGTTGCCCTGCCCATTGCCACTTCAGGTTACTTATAGTTAACTCAAACCTTCAACTTCTCATGAAATAAAACAACGCTAACTAATTTTGCTTTATTTTGCCATTTCTAAAATCTTTTTTGGGTTCAACAAAACCTTTTAACACTCTCAATATCTTCAACGTCACAAATATGAACGAAAGTACAGTGAACAAGATAAAAGCATACACATCCAACATGTTGTATGCTATCCAGCTCATTTCTAGACCTGGATTCTTCATGTAATTTGCTCCTTTATTTCGGATGACGTATTCTATCCAATAAATTGCCGTATCTAATGCACTCATTGGTCTATCTTTGAACCTGATAGACATTTCTTTAGCCTTTACTGTGAAGGATTCACTGGTTAATACTTCGTTAAGCGTCTTTTCAAGTGTATATTCGTTGATGTCATGGAACTGCAGTAGTTTTCCTAAGCCTGCGTGTTGTATTTGCAGTAAATTGTTGAACTGATCGCCGTATATGGGCACGCCTATTATGGGAACGCCGTGGTAGAGGGCTTCTTGGGTTCCAATCAAACCCCCGTGAGATATGAACACCTTTACGTTGGGATGTGCTGAAAATATAAAAGGAAAGTTGTTAATAATATTTACCTATATTTTTAGGTGCAAGTAAAAGAAGTAGTTTCAGCTAAAATCTTTCGTTTTCTATGACTAAATATATATTTTCAAAGGTAGACTAAGGTAACGTCATACAAAACGGACCTCTCGCGTTTTAACAACTCGTAAAAATTATTTCAACCTAGTCATTAGTGGTATAATTTACTCTATTGATGTCAAATAATTACATAATAATACACAGCCTTCAGAAACAAGACAGTTAAAATAATTTTAGAGAAAAAAACTCATCATACATAATTTCAGCCTCAGGACGCTTACTGTTGAACATAGGCCTCCCCCAATGATTTCCACCGGTTGGTAGAGCTACGTAGCCTCCACTCCACTCCAGAACCTTGCGGCCCCATCGGGCATTCAAGCATCCAACAGTTCATTTTAAATGCATTATCAAAATTGCAGATAAACAATCATAGACAATTTTCTATCGATAGATACCACATTTTAAACGCTATGCTTACCTAGCACTTCGTTCTGCGGCAACCATTTTCTTGTTACAACGTTATCAGGCTTATCACTAAGCAGGTCGTCTTCCCATTTCCACAATACAGTCTGTTTTAGTCGTCTAAATACATTGAGGAACGCCTTTCTTTTTTCCTCAGGCAACATGGAGCTCTGAATGTTCGACCCAAAGGTCATGTACACCACACCATTGATTGACTCATCCAAAATTTTCTGCAGGTCCTGTAAGCATGAAGGTACTAGGTTAAACCGTCTGGAATACGTATGTCTGAATAATGTAAATATTTTGTGTAGGTGCACTGAGATGCATACGTTTGATTCTAATGTTCCTAAAGAACTCATGAAGTCTGACCTAGAGGATAGATGATAGGAGAAGGCCGCATGTATCGTCAAATTAAGTAACAACTGAAGCACAAAAATCCTTAGGTATTATCTATGTAAGACTCACCTGAGGAAGTTTTGGAACTCTTGGAGACAAATGAACTCCGCCAATTTCAACAATATTGGGCAGATAAGCAGTGGGTGGATCAAAGCTGAAGTGGCTGTTGATCAAAAACAATGACACATTCTGTTGTATTTCATACAGACTTGGCACTGGCTCTTTTAAATTTGGCACGTACTTCGTGGCCAGTTGATCCATCCTTGGTAAATACCAGAACCTCCACCAAACGTATTCGTATACTGTGAAGTATAAATTCCTCAGTCGTCCAAAGAAACTCCCTGGTTCTGGCACCACTAAAAATTCTGACACTACAGTGGCTAGTTGTAATGGATTTCTAGTAGCAATGTTGTGCCGCATACAATTTCCGTATGATGTGATTAAAACTAAAGGCGCTTCGTACTTATGAGCTAGAATGTACATCGCTTCTTGAAAAAACTGTTCACTGATGACAACATCGAACTTGTGATCAGCTGACAAAAACTCTCTAACTTGTGTGGAGTTTAAAACTACTTCTGTAAGTGTTAGGCCACCGTTCCAGAGGAATCTGTTGTGCCTTTCTTCAGCTGAAAGGTCTACTGAAGTGAAATGGCTCGGCCTTTTACCACCTGAAATAATCGGAGGAAAGTAAATAAAATAATCAGAGACACCCCATTCACTAAAACTAAGGCTGAGAAGCACGATCTAACTTTGACCCTAACTTTAACGATAGCCGGTCTTCCGATTCAAACTCGCACTTTCTTCAAATATTAACTTTATAGTCAAATATTCAATCTAATCTAAATTCACAGTAACGGTAGTTCTGATTATTATGTTACTCATTATCATTATCTTAATACTTTTACTGTCAGGAGTAATATTTACAACTATCTAACCACAGATTAACTTGATTATTGGTGCAATTAATTAATCAAATATGGGTCAATTTTAATCGGTTTATCACATCCTTAGCGTCGCCGCACGTGTAATATAAATAAGTATTTAAACTAAATGATTTACATCATTAAGTACCCATTACTCTAATTAAAAACACATTAACATTCTGAATCATATTTATACTCGTAGTTATAGATTGTATTATCTTGTGTTAACCAAAGACAATTTAAATCTAGTATTATCCAGATTATACCTGCTTCAAAAGCATAATGCCAGAAAATGTACATGTACCTACAGTCACCATAATATGTATACAGGATGGAATTTTGTAATGCCACCTGGAGGGAGTACTCTTAATATGATAGATAGAAAATTTATACTTAAAGAAAACATTCCTTTATTTTTGAAAAGAAAGAGAACTGCATTCAAAGATTTCTGAAAATGTTTCGAAAAACACCACCATACAATTTTCTGTAAATAATTAAAGATTTCATGGATTTCCTTTCATTTGATTTATCAAGTTTATTAGAGAGATTTCATCCTTATACTAAACCCTAAAGATCGATGCAATAAAAATACAGGGTTAAATTTTTAACAGATTAAGTTGGTTCGATTCCGGGGTGTAGCTAGAAAATTTTTGGAAATCTTTGAATGCAGTTCTATATCTTTTAAAAAATAAAGGAATGTTTTCTTTGAGTAAAATTTTTTATCTACAGTACTAAGAGTACTTTAATTCCAGGTGGCATTACAAAATTCCACCATGTGATGCTAATCTGGGTGGCACTGGCAATTGATTGACTAAAAGAGATTGTGATCAATCCTTTAGTACGGGACTATTCCCACTTCTCGTTCCCACGGCTGCAACTTCTGTGTAGCCAGGATCTACAGCTTGACCGCCAATAAAAACCCAACCCAGGTATTTGACCGCAATCGCACCTGGTGTTAAGTGAGATGAGTTCTGAACAGGTTAGTCTAGAAGAAACTTTGTGATCACACAAAAGAATCGTCCGTTACCCTATAAAGCATTTCCAGCAACCAAGACCAGAGTCAATTTCGTTGAGATCAAATTCTTTATTGTTTTCATTACAATATTAGACTTGAATACTTTTACTTTCAAAATGTGATAGTAGGTACTCCGGACAACGACACATCACGCTGAAAATTGTGACATCATTTAAAGTGAATAATGAACTTTTACTACCTAGCTCGCATCAATACTTATGACTATAATTTGTATATTTTAAAGACTGTAAACCCTTGAAATGGAGGGTGATAATAGTGACTGAGTTTCTTGCGCTGCTTCTTCTCAGCACTTGCCCATTTATTGTCCCGAAGCAGTGGTAGGGTTAATACTGGGACGTGTAAAAGTGCTATTTAAAATCCTATTTGCAAAAAGAAATGAGTTTTACAGAGTTTTTTTTACTATTACTTATAATAGTACTATAGTCTGCAATAACAATATGATGTGCTTTCAAAATTACCGCAATAAAAATAATACGTAATGTTGATAAAAACGTATTTTGCAACGCAATTAAAATAAGATAATCATTATGCAACCCAAATATTTACAGTGCAAATGGGTAATTAAATGTTTATTATGTAAACAAAATTAAACATACTACACTTACTATCAACTGCTACATACTTATATTAACCGTTTTAACGCTAAGTAAAGACCACAAAGAATAACTTATAATTGTAATCCCCCCAAAAGTCTCCATTCCTTAGAAGTTGTTTATATTCTAACAATCTTTAAAATCACCCTTAAACAAAAGACAACATTCTTTTGGCTATTCTGCAGTAAATTAGAGAGGATCATGTTCCTGCACTATCATCATCATCATCCATAGGACGTCCACTGCTGAACATAGGCCTTCCCCAAAGTCTTCCAAATTGCACGGTTCGTAGCGGCCTGCATCCAGCGCGTTCCTACTACCTTTATCAGGTCGTCGGTCCATCTCCTGCAGTATAACTAGACTAAATGACCTAACGATAATGATGTTAAACTTACCCATAGCATCCCAAATTTTGTCGTCAACTAAAACTTGATGGTAATTTGACGGCGGATCCGCTTCTTTGAACACTGTTATGACTGTCACATTGTGGCCCCTCCTGGCCAATTCCAAGCCTATGGGCTTCAGCATTATGTACTGTGATTTCCCAATATACGCCATCAGGTACAAAATATTCGCTGACTGGCAGCATATTACTATATTTAAAATTACACACAACTTAAGCACGTCCCGATACATTATTTAGCACTAAGCACTATTGTAAAACACTATCACAAATTCATATTATCGGTTAATTTATATCTGAACCAGTTATCTGGCTCTAGCGGTGCGGAGTAGAAGACAGCAAAACGCAGAATAGTTTTTTTTTCCTTAACACCTAGATTTTAATGACTTTTGTAATTATGATAACCTAAAGTGACCTCAGATGTACAGTTCTCATTCCAGTTGAGCGTGGTTTAAGTATATTATACGTTTATCGTGTGAAAATTCGATTGTGCGTTTAAATGTGTAACGTTTTGCTACATGGCACGATCAGGCGTTGCTAACGGATGCTTAATTTGAATGAATAAAACTTCATTAAGTTTTTGGAAATATTTTTCCATCATGATTTTCAGATACTCATGAAAGAAAAATCTGTTGTCTAATAAGAAAAATAGGATTTACCTAGTTCTTCCACTTTGAGATGTGAATTAAAACAATACGCGTGTACAGGTAACTTATTTAGAGCTACAATAATTTATGTAGAGCTTACAAATATTTTTTTAAATATTTATTATATTAAGTAGGCTTATGTTTTTAAACAATATCATTTTTTTTTACTTGATTAAAACAATAAAGTCTAATAGTTCCGTATATTCAAGACAATAGAGAATCAGTCTAATTTTTTTTCTATGCAGTTTCCATCGTAACATAGGTAAAAAACTGGCTGTTCTGACTAAGCAATCGCCGGTAAGTAATTACTCGTTAGTTGACCTTTAAAAATTATCTGAAACTTACAAAAAGTTCAATGACAGGCGATATGGACACTGATATGCCTATAACCGCGTGGATATTTATATCAGTGACAGATATAATAAATTACCTACGCTTTTTTGATATGCGTTTTGAAATTGTTTAACGCACGTATCAAATTTTTTGATAATCCAACGATTATTTCACAATTTTTAATCCTAATTAATTTTATTTCGTGCTGCAATTTTTAAAATACAAGCAAGAATTTACCTAATAACAATTAAATCTAGATCTACATTAGCGAGCTCTATTATTTTATGTTAAATTGCACGCATTAGGTAAACTGAAAGAGGCGTTGACTTCTCTATTATATCTCAATCTTACCCAAAATAGATTGTCTAATCTTACCAAATGGACTGTCAAACTTTATTAGCTGATAAATCGACGAAGATTTTGCTATATTTGGCCAATAGATACCTACCTATTTAGTTAGATACCAAATTACTAAAATAGACTTAGTCTGGGTTGCACCATCTTACTATAACTTTGACAAACGTCAAAAATCTGTCAAACTCCAGACAAAAAACACCGGTTATCGTCAAAAGTTACGGTCAAAGTTAGGTGGTGCAACTCAGCTTTAATAATAAAATTCTAGGCTAAGTTCATAAATAAGCCGGTTGTATAAGAAGTCATAAATTAATGTTGCCTTGAACTAACATTCGAAATCAGTTTTGATTTCGCGCCTTCCCTCAACGAAATGTTAGAATTGGTAAAAAAAGATAAAATATTTTTAAAGTATTTCTGAGATCACTTTGTAAGTAAAAAATGCGCCAGTTAAGTATATAGGTACCTTTCATATATTTCCTCTTATATTTACCTATATCTGTTTATAGTTACAGCAGTCAGCTTACATCAGAATGATAAGTATTAGAAATAAAACAAAATTATAGTGCGTATTAACACATTACATTTAATTGATACATTCGTTATATTTTTATAAAATATTAATATCATGGGTATCTATGACGTTTTAAACATAGATAAACTTACCTATTTTTATATCGAGGTTGTCAAAAATCAATTTAATATAAGTACATATACGTATAATAACAATTAATTTAAAATTATTACATTGGACGGATTTAGGCCAATATTATTAGAATTAAATTAGTAAAGCTATGACTTTTTACAAAATAACAAAAAGCAGCTTACTTACATCAAATTAACACTTGTTATTTTATTGTAATTTCACGTTAGACAACTTATCTCTAAAGCATACGACTCAGTCTGCATTATGACTCTTTATTCGTATAAGTACTTAATAGAAAAATATGGCATAAGGCGTTTGATAAGTCAGTGTTATTAATTTCAAATGTCTAATAATCTCGAATCTTCTCCAATACTTTATAGTTACTACTTCTCCGCTCTGAGTACAGCGGGGCTGATCCATTCTTGGTTTCGTACGAAAGAGGCGAGGGCCGTATTCCGTTTTCAATGTATTTTATGGACAAGGGATCTTTATAACCTCTGCTTTTAGTTACGGAATTTACTTCTCTTGATTCAATTATTTCCTTTGAACGGCCATCCCTTGAAGGAACAATTTTCTTGCTGACCGTTTCCACTGTGTCTGTGACACTGGGTCGTTCAGGGTCTCCCGATCTCGTTTGGTACCTATATGTCTCAGAATAGTTGTCGCTGCTATTGCTGCCTCGGCGGATCGCAGGAGACTTTAACCTCGTCTCCAAACGAGACACGAAAGGACTAGTTTCTCTGTTTAATGAATCTGTTTTATACAACGGTATCTTTCGCTCCTCCGATATGCGATCTTTGTAATGCGGAGACGGTGTGCCATATCGTGAAGACAACCGGCTGCCATCGGATTCGTCATCGGCGTGTAGGGTCTGGTAGAGTTCAGGTGCCCGTTCTCGTAGACCCTTTAGGAATATTTTCTTCTTGTCAGCTTCCTCGTGGGATTTGTATCCATTCGTATGGCCATTCGTTATCGGTGTGGTCTTGCCGTATCTCGCGCCGAAGAGCCCATCGCGTCTTCGTTCTGTTTCGCGAGACACTGCATCAGCAAGGTCTCGCTGACTCCTGTTGATTATAGACACGATGCCTGGACTCTTCAGTTGCTCCGGCGTCTCATCCAGACGGCTCAAGTGAGGGTTTGATTTATACATGGTTGAGTAGTTCCTGTTCATTCCTGAGACGTAACGCGGGTGTGTCTCCTGTTCGGGTGCTCCCATAGCAAAACTCTTACTCCTGTTGAGAGCCTTGTACGCCCGCGCCGGCTTAGCAGGTCCAGGCGGGTATCCGTTTATTTTACCGTCGGGTGAAGATGACACGTTGTTGGAAATATTCACTGCACTACTGGATCGTTTGTTAGGTGTGAGTTTGTGCCAGTACTTGTTTGAACTGGGCTTTTCGGTGGTTTTCTCTTTGCGTTCGTGCAACTTCCTCGGCAGAGTCTGGGCGCTGCGCGCGTAGTCCTCCTCTGTTTCACTGTTCGGGTTCAGTCGGCTTGTGGAGTGACTGAACCGACCCAAAGTGCTCGAAAACTGGCCCCTGAAAAGTTAAAAATATCACTTAGTTCTTCGCTCACCTAATCACGTTATTGCTGGGTCGTTATGGCTAAATAACCTGGTCCCACGTACGCTCATTGTTCTCTATTGCTGTATCATAAAAACTTGTAATCTCGTCTTTTAGTAATTGGATTCAATGGGGAATCTCGTCCCACACACCTAACGACCGGGTTTTGTTTACGCGCATTAAGATACAGGTAGATATAACATGCCTTTGATCTACAACAATTTAGCATGCCGCAGCGGTGTTCATTTGCGTCTTGATTTATTGTAAAAACAGCTAGATGTGGGCGCGCAATAATTAGACGGGAACAGAAAAGAGCGCTAGAAATACAAAATACAAATACGCCGTGCATTTTAATCTGCAAAGATAATTGTATCATACTAATTTGCATGAGGCGACCGCCAGCTAAGTACACACCTGTTGTTCTCAACATTTCCTTGCAGTGAGTCACAGAGTCTGGTGACAACAAATGCTAGTTAATGAAAGAGCGATCTGAGTCAGTGGCTGGTCTAAATAAGGGCTTCTTTGTAAGAGATATTTATGCCTCTATAAGGAGTCGCCACGGACGGCCGGTTGCAAAAGGCAAGATATGCCGGAAGGTTGGTAGTTGCCGCTTGATTGATGTGACATATTGCGCGGTTTTGATTGGCATTAAGTTAACGATTTATCTTTGTCTTTACCTAGCCATAAGGTTAATAAAATAATGGCAATTCAATTATAATGTGATTGTGATAAAATGATAGACTACCCAAATGTGAGCGATTTCGGTTTATTGGGAATCTAGCCCAACAAAATACTACTTTTTACTAGTTACATTAGTGCTATTGCAAGTTCTTTTAATATGAACAAAGGATTGTATGTATTGCGCAATGAATAGGTAGGTATAAATGTTTAAATCAATATTGTGTATTTTTAATCATATTCTATGGTATATGAACTATGAATCCTATTTTCTTATAAGAACTAGTTTATCAACAAGAATTTCTAACATATAAGATAAGATCAGAAAAATATGGGTTAAATCTAAAGATGGAATAAACTCGCATATCGTTTAGAGGCAGTTGACAAATTAAAACATTAAATTTACTTAGTTATCGGACACTAATAATTATTCCCCTAACACGAAAAACTTACTTTTTGTACCAAATGATATAGAATCATATTCAACAATCAATGTCTAAATATTGAGAAATATAGTAGGTGTATGTCTGTTATACTGGTAATACAACTTAGAGGCATCATCTGAACGCACCATATAAGTTTTGTTCAAATTATCTATTACACCCTGTATACCATTTTGTCTTTAATAAACTAAGTACACCAACAACACGCGTATCTTATACCAACAGAAACGAGCCATTCAATACACACAACATTATATCAACAGCACAATATTTATATTGAGCCCTAGAATATTACCTTAAGCTTATGATAATATTGGAACATGGAACATTAATTAAATTTTATGCCTCTAGCCTCAGTGTAGGCGGAGAACGGCTTCGTTGTACGACAAGATTCTATTTAAGGTCCATTCCGATTTTAATCACAATTCTATATCGATTAACGATTTGTACAACTTTAAAACGTAGTGCGAATGGTGTATTATCTTTTTTGGTATACAATAAAATGTTATGAGGATTGTGATTCGGTGTGGGTGGAATATAAAGGAGCAATGTCAACTTACCGGTCTCGGTGGTCGCGGGCGTCGCCAGCGGCCGCGCGTCTCGAACTGCCCTCGTACTTGTGCTCGCGGCCGTAGATGCTGGGGGCGAAGGGGTCCTCCCCGAGGTAGTAGCGGTGTGGAGGCGCGACCGGCGGCGCCAAGTCTCCACTATACTGCTTGTAAGTCCGCGAGGAGTGCTCCGGCGACGGCGAGCGCGAGTTCCGCCACCGCGCGCGCCTCTCCGCAGACGCCGAGCGAATCTTCCCCACCAACTTCCTGATCGAGTTCCCGATTGCCGAACCCATAGACTTCCGAGCCGGGGACGGGCGGCGACCGCTATCAGCGAAACGAGTTTTCTGATTTTGTTTCCGCTCGTCCCGATCGCGTCTACGAGGTGGGGTGCGATCCCTATCTGAACTGCCGCGACGCTCTCTCGGCGGGGAGTAATCGGGCGGAGGCTCTGTCGCTCCCTCTTCCCTGCTATCACGCGACCGTCCCGAGTTTTCGTTCCGTGACGAACTTCTGTAACCACTGTCGTAACGATGCTCCTCAGACAATCGCTGCTTCAGATGACGTTTTCGCTCAGGTGCTACAGGTCTGTAGTCGTCCTCGACTGACGGCTCGCGGAAGGAGCGGTCGGCTTCTAGTGGACGGAATGGGGAACCACGTGGTGGGCTGTGCATTGTCGACGAAGATACGTAGGCGGAGTCGTCGCGCGAGGGCGGGTGACGGCGGCTGATCGGCGATGACCTCCCTTGAGGCGATTCGCGTTTCCCGTATACGTGTCTAGGGGAGGAGCCGTTTAGCCGGTCGTCGCTGGCATATGGCGAGCGCACCGTCGGAGGTGACGGCGATGAGCTTCGTGGTTCCGGCATCCTGGGTTTACTTGCACGTCTTTGAGACCAATCTGCTACTCCCTTAAAGTATCCCCCTGTCCTGTTCACAGACGCTGGCACACGCTCGTCGGAGGGTGTCGACGATTTTGTTTTTCTTAAAACGCGGTCTCCGTACACTGGCGGCGGTGGCACTGAAGATGACGTTTTCCCGTAGTAGCCCTCGTCGTTAGCTGTTTTGTTCTTGACGTAAAACGTGGGTTCCGGGCGCTTTCCAATTTCTTCGGCAATGGAGTCGTGTGACGATCGGGAGTCGCTGCCGAAGTGGCTCTCGAGCCACTTGGAGGTTTCTTTCTTGCGCGTTTCCTCTTCGATGTCGAAGTCGAGGGGGCGTTTCGTGTAGTCCTTGTCGTGGTCTGAAAGAAGGTTAACACTTGAGGTTTCGGGTATATTAAGTATATTATGGAAATGCGATCGACACGGGCGCCCGCGACGCGCCGCACGCTCGAGTGCCCGCGCGACAGCATCTTAGCGCACACTTGCTATGGCGTAACCGTTCAGTCAATAAGTTTGCCAAACCACTGAAGGTCAATGCGTTGTAAACATCGAGACATCTTTACTTAACCGCGGTGAGACAGTAGCAGAGCAAATTATTCACTGAATATTAATTTTTGGGTCACTATTGCTTTACGATGTGTCTGTATTATACTCGTAGTATTATGTAACATACACACTGTACTAAGCTCTAAGAGAGTCTTGATTGTTGATTACTGATATTCAATACTATTTTTGTCTTTACTAAATTTCGTAATCAGGTTATCCAGTTGCATGAGTGCCATTAAAACAGAATTTATAGAACCGACGTATTTTTAGTTGTATTATGTTGAAATCGAGAGATGAGCACATGAAATCAGATGTGCAATAAAACAAGACAGACAAGTTGAGAAAGTTTACGTGAGCAGAAGTGGGTCCGGGCCATCGCTGCAATCATTAAACGACACACCCTTTTTTGCTCAATAAAATTAAAAACCACCAAAAATACGAAATCTCAAGCAATAGGTGCTCCCGAAGCCATGTTGTTGTGGCCAGCTTAGGTTCTTTTATTTTAATGGTAGCCATCATATCTTAGGATTTGTAAACTATAATTGGATGAGTATAAAAAGAAGAATACTTTCAAATAAAAATTAAACAACCGGAATGTGGTCTCGAATGTAGAATCAAAACATTTGCTTGATGTTATAAATATTTATTTACAAATATGGAAGGACCTCTAGCAAAGAAGTCTTGTCTTTGGTGCGCTTTTATAATTTTATGGTGCATTTATTCATAAGTATAACAAAAAAAACTGTATAATAATTGGCAAACGTATTTTTCAATATTCTCATTGCCAAATCCTGAAACCTTCATAACTCTACTTCATGGCTACCCATAATTCGACAGTTATATTTTCCATCGTATTTTAATTTGCCCTCATTAACAAAGGAATACCTTCAAGTTATGGGTCTGACCATACAAAAGCCGATGTAAATAGAGGATTCCGACACGTCGTGCCAAAGGCGACCTCTCGGTTTGCGTAGGCCCAATGACTAGCCATAACTGGCAATGGACGCTAGTATGAAGTTGTATGTTTATGCTGGCCAGTTTGAATACGCCACAACAATAAAAACAGTTGAATTCTATTTTTTGAAATTAGAACAGCTCTAGCTTTAGGAAACGTACACCTCTAACAGATTTACAAAAAACAGTTGAATTCTATTTTTTTTAATTAGAACAGCTCTAGGTTTAGGAAATGTTACAACTAACTCTGTTTACAAAAAACAGTTGAACTCTGTTATTTGAAATTAGAACAGCTCTAGGTTTTAGAAACGTCGAAAATACAGTACAAGCACCCTTTTATTATGAGAGAAAAAAAATGCTCTTGATGTTCGTTCTTAGCTTTTTTGGTCTAATTTGAGAGGTCGTCAAATCGTCCAAACTAGTTTGTCGCATTTTGCATAGTAAAATAAATGCGAAATTATGTGACTCCCTTCTGTCTAATACCTTTTATTTGGTAGAGATATACAGATCCCTTATATTTGTAGCTAATCCTTAATAAAGTTAATTTTAAATGGATTAACAGACATGTCTGTTTTACCAATTGATTCTGGAGCCAGAATCAATCAGGTATGCGAATTAATTACAGGTGGCAGCCAGTTTCCTTATAAGACACCTCGCTTAGCGCCGTGGGCAGTAAGTACCTGTTCACCTGCAGTGTCTATGGTTAATAGGAGACATAATTAAACAATTAGTTTGATTGGAAAAACACTAGTAACCTAACTGTAGTTTGTAGCTCTAACGAAGCGAATGAGTAATGACCAATGAAGAGTGAGAAACGAGTGTGATAGAACTTCATGAAAATGGTAAAAAAAATAATGAAAAATTCTACGTTCTAATAAAATTTTGCACTATTATCCGCATTAAATTTTTTTTTGCCATGAAAATTGCACGATAACAAGATATAAGTACTTGTCCGTTTCAAAAAAGTAGCATGTTATAAGTTCTATCAGACAGGGTTCGAAAATATCCGATATTTATTATAAATATCAAAATATCGGATATTTATGATATATATCCGATATATATCAACTTTGATAAAATATATATCAATTTTGTATGAAAGCCATATTATTATTTTATTGTATTATTCATGAATACTATTGCATATGTGCTACATAAACATGTTTTTAATGTTTTTAAACCTTAAAATCAGACAAATAAAGCAAAAACATAAAATATTATTTTAAATACGGCAAAATCAACAAAAAAATAAAAATCTTATGTCAAAAAGTACAAATACAGTAACAAATTTTAAAAGTTGATATATATCATCAAAACCGGCTTGATATATATCGGATATATATCCGATATATATCTTGATATATATCCCTTGATATATATCCTCGAACCCTGATCAGAACTTAGCTTGACCGCGAGAACTTTTAGGGAGACCATGGCAATCCTAAAGTTAAACGATTTAAAGTCGTTAGCTGAAAATTCATCATCATCATCATCATTACCTATTTCAGTAGTCTGACGTCCACTACTGAATATAATGCCTCCCCAAAGCCGATTGCAAAATGGTTTCGATGAAGGTAAATATCTAGTATCTTTTCTTCTAAAAATATTCCTAATTCAATGATTGAGAACGACCGTTTTATCGCAATCGATATGCAGAAATAAGCCCCAGCTACGAGTGTAGACTTGATAATATGACAACTATTGTGCATCTATTCAAGGCCCAAGTAAGTTTACAAGTTTGGACCCTGATTTATTTCATACTTGTTTGAGAATTACTGATAACGAAGTCTTTTTCAGGAATAGTAACCGAATAGAAGAAGAAATACCTACATAAATGACGTTATTGTGCTTTCCAAAATTAAGTCATATAATGATAGAGCCGGAAAACTGATTAAGAAGAAGCCTATTTTAAAAAAGCTTTGTGTATTGTCATCATGGTTTCATCATTTAGCCTTAATTTCTTAACAAAATGGTCATTCTGGTCAAGAAAGTTTGCAGTTATTACCAATTTAGGAAACCCTATATTGCGACTATCTTTACAGAGATAGTTGCGTTTGCTTAATTATGCCAGAGGATATGCCTTAACGATTATTGAGAGCGACGCGGAAGGCATCAAGGCCGACACTCAGCACTAAAATGGTCACATTCACGAGACCCATTAACATAATACTCGAATACTGACTAACATTTGAATATTTTAAATATCTCTTCTTATAGCGATGATACTGCGGTCAAATTTTCAAAACCTTTTGAATTTCATCAAACAAGACTAATGCTGAGTTGCACCAACTTACTTTAACTGTAACTTAACATAAATCGGTGTTTTTTGTATGGAGTTTGACAGATTTTTGATGTTTGCTCTAAGTAAATTTAGATAGTAGACGGGCAACATGGAAATCATTGGAGGAGGCCTATGTTGGTTCAGCAGTAGGACGTCCTGTGGCTGAAATGATGATGATGATGATAAATAACTATCTAGGCCTATAAGCTGTGCTATAAGTAAGAATGCAAGTGACAATTTTCTTTAAATTAACTACTTAGTACCTAACTACCTGTCCGAGTTCATCAAAATAACTTTTCAATAAAAAAATTACAATAAAAAGCTCTGAAAAATTTGCCGGTTCGGGTGAATTATTGTAAAATCGCATCTAAGTAGGTACCTATCAGCGTTGCCAGTTTTTTTTTTCGCCAAGTCGGGACTTTGGTACTTTTTGAGTGAAAATAGCGGGATTCTTCCGTCAAAAGCGGGACAAAGTAAAAAAAACGTATATAATCAAAGGTTTTCAAATATTTATCTTTTTATTTGACTTAAAATTACGTTTACGTGACAATAGATAGCAAAAGTAGCCATAGAAAATGTATTTCAACAAAAAAATAATATTTTAAATCAGATTTACTCTATCGTTAAATTCGCCTTTAGAATAAAAAAAGAAAAAAATTAAAAAAGTTTCATTTTTTAGAATAATATGGCGTTTCAAACAACAGTCTGGTGAAGTGAGTGTCTCTCTCCGAAAAGCGGGACAGAGCCTGTCCCGCGCGGGACATTTAAATTTGATTTAAAAATCGGGACGTCCCGCCAAAATCGGGACGTCTGGCAACGCTGGTACCTATGCTACTTACACGAAAATGAGAATATGAATGGATCTTATAATTGACCACTTCTACTGCACATAACACTTGATCGTGTAAAAGTAAAAATAGCGAGACAGTTTTATTTTTAAATTGTCTCGCAATTTTTATTACATTCATGTTTTTTTATAAAATTAAAAATAAGTGGCGACATCTCTCGATTTCAATTAATATTAAGTGTCTTCGCAACGCCATCTAGTGGCGAGTAGTAGAACCACCAGCTAAGTACAACATCGTGCTATAAAAAGCACAACAAAAAAAGCATATCAGAAACGATCTAGTTACACTACTCACCGCTGTGACGAAGACGGCGCTGTCGTCGCATGCGAACGGACAAACTATCCCAATCATCGTCCATGTTTGGTCTGCCTTCCCTCTCAGCTGTGAACAAATAATATAATTTTAGATAGGTACCTTATACTTAAAATATTCAGAATATTATTGAATGTATTGAAAATTAAAAAAAAAACTAAGCAGAACTTGCAAGAAAACGGAAACAACTTTTTACGACTGTTTAATACCGAAAAACAAAGTTAATAAAAAAGTATTATAACAATTTCGTAGATAAATGAAATCATCTAAATAACACAGTTTCAAGGAAGAAGCGCTGTTATTTTTTATTCTATGATTATTACAAAGTAGGTATGTTGTATCTTCTTTGCCTCAAAGGACACCGATTCCTGTATTCGAGACTTTCGAACCACCCCTTGAATAAGTATGGTTTCTTTTTTACACTCTGTGTCCTGCCTCAAAGGACGTCGGTTCCAATAAATTTATAGACCACACTCCGAACCCCTTGAATTATTTATCCATTTTATATAGTATTTTTCAGTTAATACCTTCCTCAGTCCGGGTGCGGGAGTGCAGGTGAGTGGCGACCCGCACGCCTCCCGCCATCAGGTCGGTGCTCCGCTCGAGGTCCACCCGCTTCCTCCGCTCCGTTCCACCAGTCTCTTCCACCACGCTCTCGTTGCTGCGGAGTGATTTGGCCTGATGGAGAAAAAAAAATCTTTTAAGTAGCACAGCTATGGTAAGAGCAGTCTCCTGTCTCCAGTTCGATTATTGAAGTGTTTCAAGTTATCTAAAAAATAACTCTGGACGTCCCACGGGCGTTCACTACAACTGTGGTGTACTCATAAAAAAATCTCATAAAACTCATTTTATTTTTAGGAGGCTTTTAAAAAGCACTTTTACTCGTCCTAGTATTCGTCCTAGCACTAGGCTAGCTTAATCTTAGTGCTTTTCCACCAAAAAATGTGAGTTGTTGGGGCTACTTAATATGTATATGAAAATTTATGAAAAAAACAACACTGCATTTCGTAGTATTTTCATAAGTTTACAAACAAATCATGTTTGTTTTATTATAAAAAAAACTATACATAAAATACTATTACAGGTGTTGAATTAAGGAATATGAATAACTACGAAAATAGGAAAAGAACGTAAGAAGCACCTGTCACATAGCGCCATAACCACCATATTATGTTAAATTAAAGATGATGATAATAACTATCATAATATACAATGAATATTTATAAAATGTTCCTTACTTCTTCTTTAGATAGTTCTTCGTCGCAGAGTCTTTCTTGCTCCTTGGTGTGTCGGGTTTCAGTTACAATGGTCCCATCAGGCCGCAGGGCACGTAACTCCTCCTAAATTAATAAAAATAAAACTAAGTATTAATGCACCAAAAAATGGTTGAGCGAGAGGAGTCTACAAGGAATCAGTGAAGAAAAAAAAGAAGAACATTTCGGTATCTACTTATTGTTTTATCTTAGATTGGTCTTCAGTAAAATTTTAGCTATGGTTAGATAAAAACGGTAAGTACCTATCTGATTTTCAAACCAGTTTTTAAATGGAAACCGTGTTAATTATACCTAGACGCTCAGTGTTCAGTGTCTAATTTTACATTTGGTTGGACTAACACAATAATTAATAGCTGCGAACCGGCCAATCTGGAAATCATTCGGGGAGACCGATGCCGTGATATTCATCAGTGGGCATCCCATGGCTGAAGTAATCTTAAAGTTGACTTTTTGTAACATACCGTATCATCAGTGTTGATGGTGGTGTTGTAAGCAATAGTGTCCCTGATGACTTTAGGCGCACGCGGCACGAGCGCCAACTGATGCTCCGTCTGCACCTTCAGAGCATCGCGGATGTCTTCCTCGGGTGTCTCATTCACGGCCGCAATCAACGCCTGCAACAAAAAGAGACAAAATATATTTTCACAGCTCACTAATAGAAACTCAAAATAGTAATAATACTGGCCGTAAAAACGAAAACACAATGACATGGCACAACCACGTCAACATGAGTTTTCATGACGTTAATAACAACAAACATGACCGAGACGGAGAGAACATTTTACAAGAAAGCCGCAAGTTACTGGGCCAATGTACCGGCGACGATCGACGGAGTACTCGGCGGTTTTGGCCACATATCAGACGCAGACCTCGACGGCTCAAAAGCCTTCCTAACTTACATTTTAAACCTCCCCAAACCGCCAAACACAAAACTGGCTTTGGATTGTGGTGCGGGCATAGGGCGAATTGCCAAAAACCTGCTGATCCCCAAATTTGAGAAGGTAGATTTGGTAGAACAAGACGAAAAGTTCGTTAGCACCGCAAAACAATTGATCGGCGAAGACAATGAGAAACTTGGAACAGTGTACCAAATCGGGCTCCAACAGTTCAAGCCGCAAAAAACTTACGACGTTATCTGGTGCCAATGGGTGCTCGGTCATCTGAACGATTACGATTTAATTGCTTTTTTGGAAAGATGCAGTGAGGCTTTGGCCGAGAACGGTGTTATTGTTATTAAGGAGAATATAACATCTTCTGACGAAATCGAATATGACGATGACGATTCGTCTGTGACACGCCCCGTCGGTTTGATGCAGAAAATATTTGAAGCAGCCAAATTAGAGATAATCAAGACTTCTGTTCAGGACAATTTCCCCGAAGAAATATATCCAGTGCATACATTTGCTTTGGTACCGATGGACTAAAACGGATAATGCAGGAAACATTATATTTTGTAGATAGAGTTACTCGTAAAATAAAGGTATGAACATTGTTTCTGCTATCTTTGATCTTAAAACAAAGTTCTAAATATACATAAGCGTGACCATATGGCATACGTTACCTTCGGACATACACAGCACAATAGACGTCATGTTCTGAACGAGTGAATGTTTATCTTTGATGAAGTGGCGAATCGTGTGCAGAATTCGTGATTGTGTCGTTGAATAAAGTAGGATCTGGGACGTGCTGCGCCGACGCAAATAAGATCACAAGTGCATTCACCGTTTTAGTAGGTACTGTAAGCTTATGAAATACTTACATCATGCTAAGATCTGAACTTTAGAGAATCTTACTGCGACAATTACTGTCGTAAGTTTAAATTATTATAATTGTTGTCTGTCTATTTCGTTTTGTCGGCATTTTCTCAGATAAGTAAATGTTGTTTCATGTCGCATTTAATAGACAGTTTAATGAAAATTTTCTCTGAATGACCTACTCTTGTGTGAGACGTGTAATTTACAAAGGTATATTGTCGTACAGAGATAGATGGATTAGTACGAAAAATTTTATTGCCTTACTAGAGCTTCAAAGCACGTGTCTGAACCACAGTTTACGAGGAAATTCAATGGGATTGAAAGCCGAAGCTTGCAATGATGGCGTATCGTCGATAATTAACGACAGAACGCTCGCTGATGTTCAATCAAAGAACAGTTAGTGATGGATATCGCACCGCAGTTGGTTATTAGGGCCGGGGCGTCAATCTTAGGCCGCGGCTGAGTCTCGCCCAGCAATTCAGAAGAACAGTTACAATCTCAAATTGATGGGGGTTCCAGCTTTTGTCTTGGAATGAGCCGACGTAACCGTTCCTAACATTTTAACGGTGGGCGGTTAGATGCTGTTCCATAGTTAGTTGTCTTAATGCCTGCTCTAAAATGTACTTCACTAATTAGGATTAAACATACAGTCCACTGTTAATAATATAAAACATAATGCGTTGTTGTAATCTGAAATAGATTAAGCTAAAATTAATGTCATTGGAACGCTACTTTAAAGATGCTACAATTGTTTGACCTCAACCGGACCTAAAAGGAAAAACGCAAGGAGAATCAAAAATGTCACGAGCTTTAGATTACGTAACTTATATTCGATGTTATTTGTAGCGATGACCGAATCGAGATAAGAATGTCCCGTTTGGCATTTCGCACGATTGCAAAAACTTCGTTACCCTTTCTGAAAATAATATTTTTTTGGGTGAATATCAAATGGTCAAAGGATACACAATAGTTCTTTATTTAATTGATTACAACTAGAGATTTATGCAAAATTTACGTTAATTGGACTTCAAAAACTTATTTAGGCCCGTTGCATTTGTAAGATTAAACAACTAAATTATGTCATTTCTTACATGATGTAAATTTTTCAGAAATTGAATTCTTAACTCGTTCTATGCCGGTATATTTATTATCTAATAAAACTTTGACACTAACTCGTCGACCTCGGCCTCTCAGACTTTGGTCCAGACAAAAATACGTTAAGACCTGTTGGACACTAAAGATTCCAAGTTTGGGGTCGTCGCCCTCATAAGAACCAGAAGTTCATTTAAATCGCTACAAGGTCATATCTCAAGACAGATCTCAGCGGCATGTTTCATGTATTTTATCATTTCACTTTATTTATTCTTCAACTGGTCCAGTTCCAAGTTTCCAGTATCTTACAGAATTAAAAACAATTTTGCAACACGTTTCGCCCGAAACGTGATAGGTTTCGGTACATTTCAAATTGTCTTTGTTACGCAGTGTTTTTGTGGGCGAACGTGACTGGTATGAAAAGAGATCGTCTTTGCTCGTTTGTGGGTACTCTTCCACGGATCACGCATGCACCCTACTTTTGCTACCGTCGTGACGTGCGCGTGGAGTTCAGACCAGAGACCTCGACTGTAGTTTTCTGTGTTTATGGTTAGGTCAACTGTTCCCTAGCGGTTTTCTTTCATAATTGGTATTTTCATACGTAAAATAGGAGCTGAAAAAAGTTTATACCAAAATCTAAACCACTTATATTTTATGACACGTTGGATCTGACCGAATTTTGGTTATTCTTGTCAAACTAACTTCAGAGTCTATTAGCATCACACAATAGTCTAGAAACCGAGTCACAATACCATTTTCTATGCACGATTACACGCCGAAAGAATTTTAGACACCTATTTTATGTAGTGCTCACCTGTTTTGACTGAAAAAGATTTTACTTGAAAAATGTGAAATAAGTAAAAGTTTGCATGTTAAAAGTGTGTCGGCACGATTCAATTGTCAACACAAAGGATCGAAGCTAAAATAAGACAAGTTACATGTTCTTCAGCCATATGAAACCATACTGTTCTACCTATACGTTAAATAAATAAATATGTCGATATTTCAGTTTGTCCATCCATCACTAACAACTGTCGGCGAACAGAGAGCACGTCCGCTGCGTTTGCGCATATAACGTCAAATTCCGCGACAGTACAGTCGGGTGAGACAGGAACAAATAAGTCTCTGAAGTTCTTACTTTGTTGGCAAACACAAACACGATTAGTGAATGAGAAAATTTAGATTCTATCATACTGGAGTCAGAATTTAAACAAGAGGAAGAAAGACAAGCATTCTATCTATAGTTTAGAGGCTGCCTCTTAATTGAGGGATAGCTAATGTATTGTGTAGGTTAGGGGTAGATATAGATTATTGAAAAAGCTCATTGAGCCGAATCTACGCAGAACCAAAAAAGGACATACGCTAATGCATCTGAGTGTACGCAGCTGTGATGAATATCTTAATAACGCTGTTTCTTTTTGTTTTTGCGATCGGTCTGTTATTACAAGAGCGTGCGAATTTTTTTGTGAAAGGTAACGACGTGTCGATGTTCTTGTCTTTTCATAAATATGCAGGCTCATTTATCTGTTCAATCAGTTGCCGCTTTTGTTTTTCTAATAATAGCTTTTACGGCGTATTCCGTTTATTTTAGTGAAAGCAATACAACAGCACATTAAGTTAATCGGTTGATGGTGCGATTAATTTTAAGGTCATCCCAGTGTTTTTTTCGTAATTATGAAGTTAAAAACATATAAAACATATTAGAATTTCAGGTAAGTAAGCCTAACATCCAATTTATTAAAATAAAATACTAATTGATTAAAATATGTTTGTAAGTAAGTAATGTACTTTCATAAAAGCCCTTATATCCGCCACTGACGGCAAATTCAGTGCCAAGCACTTCAGGCTAAGTTAAACCTTCATAGACCGTCATCATTGGGAATACTTTATAATTTGTAGGTATACTAAAGGTAATAAACCCTTTCCCCATAAATAAACACGTAAACGTCGTGTAATCGAGGTTGGTTAATTAAAACCAGAAATTAGTGGCAGATTTACGGCCGATATGAAAAGAGAAAATTGTGGAAAATTAACAAGGCCTTAAATGGAATTAAGCGCCTTTTCATCGCCATCTTGCATACAAATATCCCCTTACATTTTTGTTCAAATATTACAACGATACTTATTACAACGATATAAGATGCCACAGTATTTTTAACTTGATGTGCCGTCGTCTGTACTTAACACAGTCAGTTATAGATAGTCGGTAATTGATTTGTAATTACCGTATTTTACGTATAATACATAAAAATCGTAAATATTTATGCAATATTTTTTGCATATAAATATGAATAGAATAACTATTTACGATATTTAGCGAATTACGTGTTTGTAATAAATAGTTTTTAGTATGTATCGTTTATCACAATAATTGGCACTAATTCAAATAATATTACAAACAAAAATAAATATTTACCTTAAGAAGGTGTTTTCCATTTTACACGCCTGTTTATTTTAATTCATCTTCACCTGTCTATAAAATTTTACAAGAAGTTTTTGAGAAGAACTTTAGTGCAGGTGTGAGGTATTTAAACATTATGTTAAGTATTTTTGCAATATGTTGTTTGCTATAATCCATGTTTCTAACTACTAAAATAAGTATAAAACTTAAATGAACATGGTTTACCAAAAGTAAGTACAATCGTGATAAAAAAATACTAATGACAGAAATATGCTTTCTTATTCTGCACAAAATACGCGTAAACTCATTTTGGACTTGATGAAAGTTTGTTTATAACAACAATAAACTTATCTTTTCAAAATAAAAGTAACTTCAATTATTAATTAAATTACATTGGTAACATTTGATTTATTATAGAATTCCAACATAGAAAGTGTGGAAAGGATTGCAATTACTCTACGATTTGCTCATTGTAATAACAAAATTACTAGACCTCGAACTTTCTAGGAAAGTACATAACAATGATAATAATATCCATTACAATAACCATGAATGTCTGGCCATTCTATTTCTACATAATATAGGCACACGTCCCAATATATTTCTTGTAACCCACCACTGCTTTGAGATAAAAGTACTAAAAGAAAAAGAAGCGCAATTACTGAGTTTCAGTGACTTTTTTCAGACGAGATTACGCAGTTACAACATTCTAAAGTTTAGAATCTAAACAGTTTCATCTTTTTTTTTTAATAAATACCAACCTTTTTTTATTAAAAGTACCTAATAATTTAATTAGTTTGCTTGTCTGAATTTTCACAGCAAAAGTTTTCAGTACTTATTGATGAAGTTGAAAAATGACTGCGAGTTCTGTGATATTATTTATTTTGTCTCTAGATTATTCAATGACATAATTAAATCTGTTCGTTTTCAATCATACAGTTGGCATGAATGAATGAACTTAAATAGACTCAAAAGTAGGGCATAATTAAAATGTTATCACGCAGGGTTGTAAAGTGATAGTTTATTAAGATTGTGTGAAAACTGGACCTAGGGCATGGTCATAAGACATTACAGATAGTTGTGAAAAGTGGAACGCTTCTGCGATAAATATTTTATTTGCTTTTCATGATGTGGTGTGTCCCAGCGTTGGTTTAGAGCTGTTAGAAAGTAGGGAATTTTATGAGCTTGTACTATTCAATGGAAGTCCTAGCTGTAGTAATATTTTTCTCAACAAACAAAATATAATTGAGGTAGTCAGTCAAATCCCATCAAAACGGTCAAATATGTTTCCGAACCTACGTACTACGTAATAATTTTATGTTAGTGTCCGTGACTTCCACTTGGCATGGGGCACACTGAAAACCAGCGTCGTGGCCTTCCCCACTGTGGGCCACGGCACGGCATATGCTGAGTGGAGTCCCATTGCGATGGGCATCGCTGTCTGTTGCGACAGGATAGCACTGCTCAGTTCGCTTTTTATTTCCTTATAATATTTATGTGTTATTTCTGTCTTTTTTTTCCGTATACGTTCTCTGTCCTTAACTAAGTGATGTTCATCGTAATAAATGTTTCTTTCTTTTTTTACATCACTAAAATGTAAAAAAAAACCTCATGTCTTTTACCAATTTTATTATGATGTGAATGTGTAGAATAAAAATTTCTTCAAAATTATTCGAGTATAAAGTAAATAAAAAACACCATAATAAGAATTGTAAAAACTATACATATTTTAGGACCCAATGTACGTATGCATGGAAGCTCTTGAAGTTTTTAGATTTTTTTGTGTTTTAAATAACCATTTAAACACAAAGCAATTTAAGTTCAACTATATAGTTAGTGATATGTTTACCGCTTAGCCTTGTCTATAGCATCGGTGACTATGTCCCGGCGATTAACCGACTTACAAAATAAGAGCAAATCCCAACTGAAGTCGGCAATAAAATGCACAGTAGGAGAGAACACGACAATCCACTTAGCTCCATGTGACAGCCAGCACTGAGTTACCGACTGTTGGATCAATGTCGTTGCCGACGATTGAAAAAACTACAGTGAAAAAAGTTTGTTAATTTAGTTAACCATTAAGGACCTGCCACACTGGATGCGATCTGCGGCCAGGTCAACAAAGTGAACGCAGCTCGCACCATAATATATGACATTGTCGGTCTGGGCAAAACAATTTGTCAGCGATCGTGACAAGGCAATCTGTCAACAGTACGATTTGCGTAATTAAATATTTTGAATTCGACGTAGGCCTCTATTAGTAAGGGAATAAGGTGCGTAGTTTCCCAAAAAAGTTATCTCTGGTAGGTACTAATTTTTTATGCTGCTATTCATATTTTAATAAAATAAT